GTCCTGATACAAAAACATTTTTTTTAAACCAAAACCGTATTTAGCAGTGCTAAGAAGCACTTCTCATTGGTCAGTGCCGTCAGGTGACTGTGTTGCACAACGAGTGCTTGCAATTTGCAAGCGAAATTCAGAATACATGGAACAGGTACAGATAGTACACCCGTACTGGTGGACGGGAAGGGCCGTTCGCCGAAAGGTAAGTATAGTGGGAGGGAGATTTGTGCGGGTAATTCCATTTTCCCAAATTACTTGGGAAAGTGAATATACCCTTTAGGGTTGGTGCAGACGTGGGGATTCCCAGGACGTGCGATCGTGTGCGGTGGCATACATCGGTTGCATCCGCATGATTGTACCTAGTTTCACGACATGCACCGCGCAGTTTTTTCAACCGTGATCATGTGGGATTGCCCAGGTGGTATTGCAGCAGGAAAAACGCGCAATCTGCCTGGCACGACTGGGGTGCCATTAGAAAATAATGGCACTGACAGCACGATCGGCGGTGGTGTGCGATACCGTGACTACCCAGCCATCCGCTCGGTCTCCTGCACGATGTCAGTCGGATCGCACACCCCTGCCGATCGCGCTGACAGTGCCATTATTTTCTAATGACACCCCAGTCATGCCAGGCAGATTGCACGTTTTTCTTGCTGCAATAACGCCCTGCCCGAGCGGTTGCACACGATTGCAGTTGAAAACACTGCGCGTTTAGTCGCATGCAGATGGGGACAGCGGGGCTGGTTTTCATTTTTTTTTTTTATTTACTTTGTAAAAATTTTTTATTTGTTTTATTATTTTTCCTTAATCGCCTTTTTATTTAGTTACATTTTGAATTACTATTTTTTACTTTTTCATTTTAACTATTTTAAAAAAAAACGTAACTGTATTGCTATCACACAGGGAATAATAATCCTGTGTGATAGCATTTGGAGGTGACAGGTACTCTTTATTGACCCTGTCACCTCCAACACAGGAGTTCTAGCATAGCACTGTTGCTAGAACTCCTGTGATAGGAACGAGCAGCGGCCGCCGGGTACAGAGGCTGAGGGAGGTGACAGAGCCTGTCACAGCTCCAC